CTCTCTCTCTGTCTGTCTCTCTCTCTCTCTCTGTCTCTCTGTCTCTCTCTCTCTCTCTTCCAGGATGTGCCCGAACACCGCAGCCTGGAGTACCCCAAACTCTACGAACCGGGGCAGCTGAACCTCCTTTTCAACAAGCGCGAGTTTTTCATCTGCATCGCGCAGGGCATCTACGCCTCCATCTTCATGTTCTTCATCCCTTACGGGATCTTCAGTGACAACGCCCACCTGGCCGACTACCAGTCCTTCGCCGTCACCGTGGCCACGTCCCTCGTCATCGTGGTCAGCGTCCAGGTGCGTGGCGTGGATCTCCCCCACCGCCCCGCCTTCTCCGATCTCCGTCCCCCCCCAAAAAATAACTGCGCACGAAAACCTCGTTGAGGTCTTCTCCTTGCCCGTTGGCATTCAAATCTCTTGGGAGTTGGGGTTTGCAGGTGGTGGTGGGGCCACTGGGGCCCACCGCCATGGGTTTTACTAAGGATTTGGCACCAAGTGGCGTTTGCCAAAGGCTCCTTGGAATAAGCGCTAAGGAATAAGACGCCGAGGATCTCCTGGTGGTCACCTTTCCTCCTCCCCCGTCAACAGATCGGCCTGGATACCGGTTTCTGGACGGCCATCAACCACTTTTTCATCTGGGGCAGCCTGGCGGTTTATTTTGCCATCCTTTTCGTCATGCATAGCAACGGCCTGTTCCAGCTCTTCCCCAACCAGTTCCGTTTTGTCGGTGAGTCCGGTGGGGAGGGGGAGGAAAAAAACCACACCCTTTCTGTTTTCGGGGTAGGGTGGATAAAAATGGAGGATTTATTTGAAAAAAAATATATCCAAAATAAAAAAAATCGGGATTTTTTTGGATTTAAATCGGATTTTTTTTTTATTAATTTAAATCGGATCTTTTGTTTTTATCACATTTATTTTAACCAAATGCTTTTGGAGTAAAAAAATATATAAAATCTTATCTAAAGGCAGTTTTCTGTTTAAAGTACCTGAATAATTTAGTTTATTCAGCGTGGAATGGAGATTAGTTCGGTAGCATTGAGGCCGTACATATATCCTGCAATATTTGGAATTTTGGGTAAATATTCCTTCGGTGAATCCAAGCTCTGAAAGCCAAGATAACATGCCCTGCCTTGATGCGTCCGCATAAATTTCACACCAGTGGCTCTTTTAAAAGCGACGATTTAAATCGAGCCGATTTCAATTGAGCCTTTTACTGCCAATCTGATGACACACCCGGGGGGGAGAGGAGGGAACCAGAGTCACGGGGGACTGTCAATGACGTAGGCCAGAGTTGGCTTCATCCAGGGCGGCAGTGCCAGGATGTCGCCTCTAATAAATCCTTGGAAGTTTCTTTGAAGTGTGGCTCGAGGATCACGATTTAATTTGGGCGACGGCTGGAATCCTGACACTTAATTCCCGTCGGTTGGCCTCCTCCCCGTCCACCGTTTTTCTCTCCTTCGCGCCAGGCAATGCCCAAAACACCTTGGCCCAACCTGCGGTGTGGCTCACCATCGCCCTGACCACCGTGGTCTGCATCATGCCGGTCGTTGCCTTCCGCTTCCTCAAGATGGACCTCCGGCCAGAACTCTCGGACACGGTGAGTGAATGCCAGCACGTGGAAGCCAGGCCCTCCCTTCTTCGCCTTCCTCGCGGGGAAATTTCCCTCCCCGGGTGGACGGGATGGGGCTGACCCCCCTTTTTTTTTAGTTTACGGTGGGTCTCTTGTTTCAAGTGCCATCATAATATCCAACGGTCGCTAAGCGGATCATTGTGAATCGAGGACTACCTGCAATTTTAAAAAGGGGTGGGGTTTAGGATTATGGGTAAGGTTGGAGTTAGAGTTGGGGTTGGGGTTAGGGTTAGGGTTGGGGTTAGGGTTAAGGTTAAGGTTAGAGTTGGGGAAGGGGTTGGGGTTAGAGGTAGAATAAGAGTTAGGGTTGAGGTTAGAGTTAGCGGTGGGGTTAGGGTTAGAGTGGGAGTTGAGGGTGGGATTAAGGTTAGATTTGGGGTTAGAGTTAGAGTTGGGGTTAGGGTTAAGGTTAAGGT